GAATGCCAGAGAGTAAAGAAGTATTCACAACAGAAATTGAATAAGCATATGTCAAGGGGACACAGAAGCCATCAAATAATGAACAAATTTTAGCAATAAAATAAATAAYCTACTATTAGAACATAAGACATAAAAATACACAAGTCCATAGTGATATAAGTAAATGATTGAACAAATTAATAAATGAGATGGAACAGACACTCTCCCATACACAAGAATTCCAAATAATTTATATAAATACTCTCTTCTCAAGGAGATAGAGCACAATTGTCTACTTCTTAAATGGGCGGCATAGATAGATTCACTTCCTTTCAAAAATTACAGTATGGAAAGAGGGAAAGGTGACTTCAGTGGAAAAATTCAACAAATATMATTTCAGCAAGATGATCAAGATTAACATCAACAGCGATAAGGCATACTGACAATATGTACCCTTGATATGATATGATGAGAAGGTTACTTTACCACTGTGGTATTCGCCCCCTAAAACCATACCCYGTTTAACCATGAGAAAAGTACTAACAATCTCAATTTGAGGAATATTCTAAAAACTGCCTGACCACTTCAAAACCGTCAAGGTCATCAAAAACAAGGCAGTTTTGAACACAATATAGAGAAACCTAAGGAGACTTGTCATCTAAATATAATGGGTATTCTGGAATGAAGAGATGATAGTAAGAATTGGTGGATATAAGTAAAGTAGGCATTATGGTTAATAATAATTTGTCAATGTTGGTTATGAATTGTGACAAATGTACCATAATAATGTGTCAACAGTAAGGAAAACTAGGTGGGTGTATCCAATAAATCTAATATTTTTGCAAACTTTCTTAAATCAAGAACTATTTCAAAATTTAAAAATTACTTAAAAAAAAAGAAATGTATTAATTTGATTCAGGATTTGACCTAGAGCTACAGTCTAGAGGAATTTTCTTAGAAGAACAACAACATTGTTTATGCCATTCATCTACATTACTATGTGTTTACCTGATTACTCACAAATTAAGTTGATTTAATAAAACATAATATAATTTACTACAGCAAATTTTACCTCCTTTGCTAAGTATTGAYTGTAATTGTATTGACTGAGAAATGGCGATATAAAGTCAAAAGACAATTTCTTCAATTCACTTAGATAAGTTTTCTTGTATCTGAGAACATGAAGCTGGTAGTCCCCTCAAACAAGATTTATACTAAGGATAGCTATGTACATAAATAAGRTAATGATACTTAATATTGGGCCTGCCTTGTTACTTTGGCTAACCGTAATGTAGTAATAAATATTCTCTAGACTACCTAATTGGAATTTCCCAAAGTGCGTAATTTTCTATGCTTCTGTATATTCTTTTGTTGTACTTTCAATAAATTCTTCAGCTAAATTCTTCAGCTAAATAACAGCTCTATCATCTTCAATATTCAGTTCATCTGTTACCTCTTCMGTGAAGAGCTTCCTAATCCCCAATATGAACCTGGGCTCCTTTGTGCTTTTATCACACCTGTTGAATATCCTTACAAAACTATGTGGTAACAAAGTTCTCTCACATGGTTCCTCTTTGAACTACTACATTCTTGGGAGGCAGATTTCTTTGCAGTTACGTGTTCTTAGTTCCTAGCGTAGTGCCTGGAACACAGTGAAGCCTCCATAGATTAATTAATTAAATGAATACACATAACATGGGAGATAAAAATATGACCAAGTTTTTTAAAAATTAAATAGTGGGGGGGGCTGGGGTTGTGGCTCAGTGGCAGAGTGCTCRCCTAGCACGTGTGGGGCACTGGGCTCCATCCTCAGCACAACATATAAATAAGTAAAACAAAGGTATTTTTAAAAAATAGTGAATAACACTTTCAGAAAACATGATTAARGAGATCGAGATGCTTAATATTTTGAAATGTCTGTGGGGCAAACATGTTTTTTCAGAAGATATTCTGGAATGACTCACTGATCTGAGTCAGTATGATATCTAATATTCTGTTGTGGTTTGAAACACACCTGTCTGTCTATAACTTATTTATGCAAATAGTTCTTTTAAAAAGTCAGGATCCTCTCAGCTGGTAGAGTGCTTGCCTCGAAYGCACAAGGCCCTGGGTTCAATCCCCAGCACCACACATATACACACACACACACAGTCAGGATCTTAACATAWAAAAGAAAGTGGGGTGCATGTCTTATTCAATCCTCAAGCCGCCTAGAGTTCCTCATTGCTATTTCTCTTTACTTTCTCAAATCCTCCTACTCCATTGAAGTATTGGCCACCACCTCTCCTGGTTGTAGTTATTTTCAGACCCATTCACGCCCCCTTCATTCTGTAAATATTTTAGTATCAAGTTTGTGCCTTTCTCTATAAACATAACTACCCCTGCAGTTTTAATATGTAGGTAATACTTTCACCTRTCCAATATATTAGTTTGGATTAGGTTTGGCTATATATAAAAAAACAACCCCCCCCACCGCCCCGCCAAAATGATTTAAAAAAGACGGAAGTTTATTTCCCTCTCACATAAAAAGGTCCAGAGGTAGGCAGACTTGATATACAACAGCTCCGAAGTTTGTTTTTCTGCTCTATCATTCTCAGCTACCTCATGGTCCAGCTACCTCATGCTGGATTCCAGCCATTCTATGAACATCCTACAAGAAGGGAGGGGAAATGTAAGGGCATACCCTTTCTTTTAAGATTTAATGTAAGTTCCATATAAAATTTCCTCTTAGATCTCGCTGGAAGAATGTAWTCACATATATCTTGCTATCAGGAAAGCTAAAAAATGTGCCATACCATATGGTTGTTATGCTTTTATCACACCAAGGYTATTATACCAAGGTTATTGAAATGGAAGAGGAAACAAATGTTGAGGTGGGCCTCTAATACTTTCTGCCATCTCATTTTTCAGTTCTATGACCTTACTCTGATGATTTTATGATCAATCTCACCTCACCTACCTACACCTACTGTCATATCTAAGACAGTCAATGCGAATAACTGCAATAGCACTGAAATTTCAAYGTCAAACATTCTACACTCCAAACCACTCTTACTCAGTTCATCCACTCTGGTATTTTTGACTCCCCTAGGCCCTCCATCAATTTGCTCTTCATTTCCCAGCCCAACCGGTTTAAAATCCATGACCCAACATTATACTCTCACCCTGTTATGCACTCTCAACTCTTTTGTTGCCCTTCTCCATGTAACAGCTAATTATGATGACAACAATACTATGGTGGATTGGCTTGTCTTRTACTCATAACCACCATACTTAGACCTTTAGTACAATCTGCCACTCACACTTCATTTTTCTAGTCAATTATCTGTCCTACTATTCYAGTTGATTATTTCTCACCTCCCACCTGCTCAAATCTAAAATACTTTGTCTCTTCTCTTCAGTCACCTTGCTGCTTTTTTTCCCCTAAGAGAACAGAACCAGTCAGAATTATTCTGAGTCCCACAAGGAAGGATGATAGGAATTGAGGGTGAAAGGGGGAAAAGTAAGGATAACCCAAAGGAGGTGCTCAGACAGTCAAGAATTTGGAGARGTGAGCAAGGGGTTGTGGTAAAATTGCAGTTTCTTTCCTTAAACTGTTTTTGATCAATAGCAAGAAGATGAGTTCATAAGGAACAGAGCAAAGAATGGGGGAGCAGTATATTGACTTAAGTAGACTTTTCAAAATCATAATACAAGAACAGACTTTACAACAAAYAGGGCTGCTCACTCAGAAACCCTGGTTTGTGTGACTTGGAGTTCCACAGCCCTGTGCCTAATCTCCTTAGAAATGTAGTGAACAGTATTCCTTTACCCTTCATTCTGCAAATRTTTATTGAAAGCTTACTCAGTACAAGGTGTGTGCAGAATATAAACAGGGATCAAATCTGGATCTGCTCTCTATCAGCTGTTAAAGCAGCAATTTTCTCACTTGTTAAGTGAAGATTCTGGTTCTGTACATGAGGATGGGGCCCCGGATTTTGCATAGATTCTAACAAGCACCCAGGTGATACATGAATGCTGCTGGTCTATATATGTGACACATATTTARTAATAAAGGTTTCTGTTGGGAACAATAAGTGCCACTTCATAAAATCCTGGACCCCTCCCAACCCTAGAATATTCTGTGACCTTTTTATACATTTTGTGTGCCTTCTGGTGTTTTTGTTGTGGACGTTTCTCTTGGATTTTATTTCTTCTGGAGTTAATCATTGCAAATGTTATTTCTTAGCTTATAAGAGAATTCTTCTTCTAACCATTCACTAATTTGTCAAGGTCTATCTACAACTAGACACTGCATCTTGAATTCTTCCCCAGACCCCAATTCGGGCTGACTACTCTTTCCTGTGGTTTGGCACAGTCTTAGCCTCTAGCCTTGACCTCTACTCCCTCAGCCTGGAGATGAAGTCTATTTTATTATTCTCTATAGGAACCCACCTCTCCCGGTCACCGCTCAGAGCAATGCGGCTCATAAAATGTTTTGGCGTACCTGAGGTCGCGTGAGACGCCCCGAAAGAAAGCAGCACTGGTCCCGTGGCAGCGAGCCCCGCGAATCCTCAGAGCTGTTTCCTCGCCAGAGTGTGCGGAGCCCGCGGTTCCCACGTCGCCGCTGGAGCGGACCCTGCCCGGCGCCCCCGCGCGGCGGTAGAGTCTGCGCGCGCCCACCATCGAGGCGGCGGCAGTGGCTAGAGAGGCGGGCCCAGGCTCCGCAGCGGAGGGCGGCAGGAGTGCGCAGGGGCGGCCCCGCGCCGCGGGCCTCGTAGCCATTTTAGGAGGAAACCCAAATCGTCACCCCGGGTGCAGCTTCAATTTCAATAACTTTATTGGTGGCCTTGTCCGCAGGGCGGCCATCGCGCCCGTGGTCCCGGGGAGAGGGAGCGCATCGCTGGAGGTGATCGGGGTGCGGGAGTGGGCGCGGGACTGCGGGGGAGTCCCGAGGGTGGGTTTTCAGAGCTGGGGCGACGGAAGGCCCGGGGGCATGCGGGCGTCCCAGTAGGCCGGGAGGTTGGGGACAACGGGGCGTGGTTTCCTGCGGCGGGGATTCCCTTCCCGGGTCCCCAGGCGCAGAGGCGGGGCGGGTGTGCCCCTGACGCGGCCGCTGGGGTGTTCCCCGCCAGGTGTAGTTCTTCACKYCRGGTGGCCCCCGACTCGAGCTGCAGCCATGGGAAACACCACCAGCGACCGGGTGTCCGGGGAACGCCACGGCGCCAAGGCTGCACGCGCGGAGGGCGGCGGCGGCCATGCCCCGGGCAAGGAGCACAAGATCATGGTCGGGAGCACCGACGACCCCAGCGTTTTCAGCCTGCCGGACTCCAAGGTACTCCTCTCCGCGGCCCCCKACCGTGGCCGTGCAGCTGCTGCTTGGCTTCCGGGCTCCGTGTTTCCGTGGCTCCTTTTTCATCGCATTGAACTGAGTTACGGGATTTTTTTTATTTTTATTTTTTTTAAGGGATTTCCCGGGGACAGAGGTGTTCGGTCGTAAATTCTTGTGGTGCCGCCTCAAAATAGGGTAGACGTGTAGTTCTTGTTTTCTTGGTATTTTAACTAAGCCTTGAGACACATTTTTAAGGCAGGAACTATAGACACCTTCCCCACCCGCACCATCCTTGATTCTTCTGAGAATTTATAGGTTGTAGACTCTGGTGGAAAACTTGTGAGGATAATTTATTTGAACCGCTGGCCCTAACTTACATTTTCCTGGAAATGGCTAAGTGAATTTTTTTTTCCCCCCCCCGGAATTTTCTATTTGTTTGGATCCCTTTTGCTCTATTAGGAACTCTGTACTTTGGGTCCTTATCCCTTTTGGCCTGATTGTGACCAGCCACCACTTATTTACTTGAATATTTGTGCCTAGTGTTGAAGATGAATAAAGGGCATCATTTAGTTGACTGTTCAGTTTTTGTCCTATACTTTGTAGTTGTGGTGACAGGATGTGCTTTCAGGCCAGCTTCTCCAGTGGGAGAGCCAGTGATTCCCAGATAGCTCCAATCTGCAATAGTCCTTCAAAATATTTCCTTGGCCTAAAAGCAACAATTCATTCACCTGAAGACCTTGCTTTCAGTTGAAGGACTTACAGGAAGAGGCCACTTGTGTTCACCCTAAGAGAAAAGACAGATGGAGCTGACAGCAATGTGATTACCATCCTAATGTTTCTAATCACTTAGAAGTGTCAGCATAAATACTTTTAATTCTTTCTGGTAGGCTGTTCAGGGATGAAATAGAAAAATGGAGGGATTGAGGTGATTGGGGGTATGTGTGGAAGCTTTGGAGAGAATTTAGTTTTATTTGCCATAATGGTAGTGCATGAAATTTGGATACTAGGTTTAATTTTTTTTTTTTTTTTAAAGAGAGAGTGAGAGAGGAGAGAGAGAGAGAGAGAGAGAGAGAGAATTTTTAATATTTATTTTTTAGTTCTYGGCGGACACAACATCTTTGTTKGWATGTGGTGCTGAGGATCGAACCCGGGCCGCACGCATGCCAGGCGAGCGCGCTACCGCTGAGCCACATCTCCAGCCCCAATTTTTTTTTTTTTTTTTGATCCCAATTGAGAACATGATCATAGAAGGAGAAATGAGAGTGATTGAAAGGAACATTTCTTGGGGGCTTTTTCTCCATTCCTTTCTTTTCTCTTCCACTTCAGAACTTCTTCCTCTTCATTTGGTCTGTCTACCCAGTCATATGTATTTACTTCTTTAAAGCTTTCCCAAGGTGATGGACCTCATTGTATTTTTACCGCTTTTCTACATCAATGACTCAGGATTTAAGTACATTGTATTTGTCAAAGTATTTTGTCAAGCTATGACTGAAGTCATTGGTGTCCCGAATAAAAACCAAGTTTTCTGTGTGAATTGGGGCCTATTCTGGATCATTCTTTCCCTCACTTCAATCTTGCCATTTGGAAGATTGAAGTGGGAAGTAAGAAAATGGGTCATATAATTCTTAATCCCATCCAAATCTAAGGGTTTTTACCCTACCCTTTTCTTTGCCTCTATATTTTATTAAAACCTCTTCAAATTATAATTTTAGTTGTTGTTTTGTCTTTTATTCCCTAGTGGTTCTGCTGTTTTACTTTAAGTAATCAATTTTTCTGGTAGTCAGCAGCATTCATTCCTACCACAGAAATGTCACATCCTAAACGGAAGGGCTTTGCTCCAAAATTTGGAGCATTAATAGTTTGTGGCTTCAGATTCTAAAGGAAAAATCCTAAGTTGTAAAATAATTGATAGAAACAGTAGTCATGGGGCCTACATTGGATACCACCCTTTTTCAGCAGACTAATTCAATGGTTTTCATCTTATTTGTGTATTGGAATCACCTGAGATTTGCTTAAATACTTTATGGAAAATTTGAATCATTTACAAAGTAGGGAGAATAGTATAATGAATTCTGTGTACCTCTCACCAAGTTTAGACATTGATCAAGCACAAATGAATGTATATCAACCATACTCTAATTCTACTGTCTCTCCAATTTTTTTAAGCAAATTCCAAATGTCATAACAAATTTCTGTATTTTTAATGTACCCCAAAAGGTGAGTTTTTTTTTCTTTATTTTAACATAATCAAAGTCTTATCTGGGATGATTTTAAAAATAGATTTCCAGATCCCTGTATCTGAATTGTAATCTTAGATTATTCTTAGGCATATGCAAAAATTCCTGTAATTCTAATGCAGCCAGTCAGACAGAATGCATTGTTTTGAGAATATGGAGATAGGTTTTCTCTTAAGCTAATTCCTTGTAATAATGTAAAAGCTCCTTCAGTTTTCTTTTTTCAGCTTTTTTTTTCCTTTTAGTTAATTAAGTACTTATTCTGCTGTTTGGGGGCTGGAACCCAGGGCCTCACGTCTACTACATCCACAGATCTTGGATTTTATTTTAGATTATGTGCCTAGTTTCTCATATTGTAATTTTGAGAAATAGTGAGAGAAGTATGGAAAAATAGACTTTTCCATTTTCCCCAACTGCTCCCCCCCCMAAAAAAAAGCCCAAGTAAATAAGCTAGTTTTTTTTTTTTTTAATGCACATTATTTTGTTTGGTAATATCTTTACTTAACACTGTATGATCTTATTTATCTGTTTACCAGTTTAAGTTTAAGGCAGGGCTTAGCAAACATTTTCTGTAAAGGACCACATGGTGAATATTTTAGTCTTTGTAGCTCAGTCTTTCACAACTGCTCAGTTCTGCCACTGTGGCATGAAAACATTTGTAGATAAAAGGTATACAAATGAATGTAGCTGCTTTTCAGTAAAAACCTTATAAAAGCACTTGGCTTACTGGCTGTAGTTTGCCAACTACTGGTCTAAAGGATGGTAATGAAAAACAAAAAACTAAGGTGTTAATGTTATTCAGAATCACACAAACCTTATTTGATTATATAATTGTTTTTGTTAAAGGAAACTGTTTTATCTTTTGCTGTTTGAGGTGCCAAAATTTGCATTCCCAAAATTTGCATTCCTATACCTCAAATAGAATAAACCTGGCATAGGTGAGCAAGTAAGATTTCATAGCCACTTTTTTTTTTTTCGCAGTACTGCCTTTCACTAGCTAGACCAAGTACTCTACCACTAAGCTACATCCTCAGCCCACTATTTCTCCATTTTATAAAAATCAATGATCCAGTTTTCTTTTTATTAATTAACTGATTAATCTGTGGTTCTGGGGTTTGAACCCAGGGCCTTGCACAGGCTAAGCAAGTGCTCTGGCATTGAGCTGCTTCCCCAGACCTTTGATATTAAATTTTTAATGTCTCTTCATTGTGTATCCTATTAGCTAAAATAGAGTTTATAAATTACTTATGAAGTTTGGTATCTGTAACTTTCATTACAGCTGATAATTGAGAGCTATTTATAGTTGCTTGTGAAAAATATATACCTGACAATTTTTAAAAATACAGCTAAATTTTGTTTTCTTTTTTCTCCCTTAAGAGGTACTCAGAAGCATGTCATAATTGCCTGCCTATGAGTTAAATGGCAGTAGGGGAGTAGGGTTTTCTTTTCTTTTTTTAAGGGCAATCTTGAGGCTCTGACAGAGTAAGTAATATATGCAGACTCAAAAGTTAGACTCCTGATCATGCAGCACTTGAGCATAAGCCATTTGACCATTTTTGGTTCAAGATGAGTTCTTTTCCTATGGTTTGTTAAAAATCTGATTAGTTTCTAATTTTAAGGCATGTCTCCATAGCTGAAGCCTAGCACCCCTCTCTACCCTAAAAAAAAGAATGATCTTTTAAGAATTCCTGGGTCACAATTTATTCTAGGGATGACCTACTCCTTCTTACAGCTCCCTGGGGACAAAGAGTTTGTATCATGGCAGCAAGATTTGGACGACTCTGTAAAGCCCACCCAGCAGGCCCGGCCTACTGTTATCCGCTGGTCTGAAGGAGGCAAAGAGGTCTTCATTTCTGGGTCCTTCAACAATTGGAGCACCAAGATTCCACTGATTAAGAGGTGAAGAAGATAAGTGTCTTGATTGAGGCTAAGGGGTCCAGGAATAGAGACCTGATTTTCTTTCTAATAAGAGTGAACAGGCTGGACTTCCCATCTCCACTCACTAGATGTTCTCTTTAGAATATGCCCCTTTCTGTGACCACTTAGTATCGATGGCATTTTTTTTTTTTTTTTTTTTTTTTTTTTAGCAATAGACTTTTTTTTTCTTTATTTTTATGTGGTTCTGAGGATTGAACCTAGGGCCTCATGCGTGCAAAGCAAGCGCTTTACCACTGACCTACAATCCCAGCCCAATGGCATTGTATTTTAACCTCATTGTGAGTTGAATGCTTTACCACTTAAAATATCATTACCTCAAGGGAAATTGTAGCAGTTTTGTGGGTGTATTTTTTAGGATGGTGTTACACAGTCTTTTTTTTTCCCAGTTGTAGATGAACACAATACCTTTATTAATTTTTATTTTTATGTGCTGCTGAGGATCAAACTCAGTGCCTCACACATGCTAGGCAAGTGCTCTGCCACTGAGCAACAACCCCAGCCCTTACACAAGTCTTTTCTATGCTTGGAGGAAATCTGTAACTGACTGAATCTGTTGCTCTGACTTCTGCACTAAAGCAAAATGCACTGTGAAGTTTGCTATAGTAGTATTATTTGGTGCTTGCAGAGCAATAGTGAATCAATTGGTTTTCTAGTAATGGCTCACCAAAATACGGAAAGTATTTTAAGTACTTTTATATTCCAGACCTCATTGTTATGGTTTTTGTACTTGTGATGGATCTGTTCTACAGGAGCAAAAGAGTTATACTAAGGTGAACCATTTTGGGAGATCATTGACTATTTTTTTCTAAACATTGATTTAAGAACCAGAATTTTTGGAAGGGTTGGTAAATATATGTCCAAGATGATAAAGAAAAAAAGACCTGATTTTATACATTTTTTCTTTTTTACATGAGGGATACAGTGGCTTAGGGATGTGAGAGGTCATTGGTACAATACTGTAAATACCACTTATTGTTTAACATTCTGTCTTCTAAAAGGAACTTGACTGTTTGACCTTCTGTTTTCTTCTATAGCCATAATGATTTCGTTGCCATCCTGGACCTCCCYGAGGGAGAGCACCAATACAAGTTTTTTGTAGATGGACAATGGGTTCATGATCCATCAGAGGTAAGTCTTTGATCTACAAAGGTCCCCATGACTTAGTAGCCTCATTTTAACTGTCATTGCTGTCTGAATTGATGGGTAGCAGTTCCCCTATACTACAGAATTCCTCTCGCGATAAAAGATGGAGATTCTGATTATGATCATTTTTCACCTTTAGTAGAAACAGAGAGGAGGTTGGATGGAAGAAAGGGATTTGAAAAGGGGATTCAAGAATTTTTTTTCTGCTTATCGTTTCAGCCTGTGGTTACCAGTCAGCTTGGCACGATTAACAATTTGATCCATGTCAAGAAATCTGATTTTGAGGTGTTTGATGCTTTAAAACTAGATTCTATGGAAAGTTCTGAGACATCTTGTCGAGGTAATTTTATAGTATTTGCTCTTTCTTGCCATGTATTTCTTGTAACCCAAAAGTGGTTTTTAAATTTCCTTCATGAAAGTGGTCTTTTAATTTTGTTTTGTATTTCCATATCTTCTCAGAATTCTATCTTCTGAATCCTGCATATATGTGCATATGTATATATACACACATATTTCTTATATAAACATTTAGGTCCCCTTCTTTATATATAGCAAAAAACATCTCAGTCTGGTATACTTTAACTTTTTAACCAGGATTTACAGTAAGACATTTATTTTGCATTGCAACCCAGAACACAAATACAGAAACATACAGAAGTATAATATGTGGTATAATATTTACCTTTATTTCATGTGATATATTTTTTCTGTTTTTTAAAAATATTTATTTAGTTATTAATTTTCGTACTGAGGATTGAACTCAGAGACCCTCTACTAACTGAACCACAACCACAACCCCTTTTATTTTTTTATTTTTTGGGAGGGGTTTCCAGAGATTGAACTTAGGTGCACTTGACCACTGAGCAACATCCCCAGCCCTATTTTGTATTTTATTTAGAGACAGGGTCTCAGTGAGTTGCTCAGTACCTTGATTTTTTTTGCTGAGGCTGGTTTTGAACTCACGATCCTCCTGCCTCAGCTTCCTGAGCCACTGGGATTACAGGTGTGTGCCACCATGCCTGGCAACCCCTTTTATTTTGAAACAGGGTTTCACTGAGTTGTTGCGTCTGGCCCTGAACTTGAGATCCTCCTGCCTCAGCCTTTTTGGATCACTGGGATTATAGGCTTATGCCACAGCACATGGCTGCTATTATATTTTTTATAGCCCACTAGTGGGCTCTAGCCTAATGTTTGAAAACTCTTTCTAATAATATTTCTTCAAGTTTTCCATTGACTTTTGGTGATATCACCCAGCAGAGGTTAGATGAGCTTCATTTGTCTTATTAAACTACTCAGCTTAATCTTGTTATTTTGATAAATTAGTTTGCAATTCTATAGTTTTATGAGGCCCTTCAAGTTAGTAGTCCTTGGGGGAAAGTAGTTTAAAAAAAAAAAAACACAATAGGGCTGAAGAGTTGTGGCTCAGTGGAGAGCACTTGCCTGGCATGTATGAGGCCCTGGGTTGGATCCTCAACACCGCATATAAATAAATAAATAAAAATTAAAAATCCATTGTCAACTCAAAAATATTTTTAAAAGAAAAAAAAGAAAGACTTTAAAAAAATAATACTTTGCAATTCTTTTGAATATAATAAAAAAATTTGTAAATGTTTAAGTATTTTTTTCAATTGTAGATGCCCGTAATACCTTTATTTTTGATTGATTTATTTTTATGTGGTGCTGAGGATTGAACCCAGTGCATCACACATGCAAGGCAAGCACTCGATCACTGATCAATATACCTCTAGCCCCCAAATTTTGTAAATTTTTAATTATGTTTTTGATTTCCTTGAAAATATTGAGAAATAGGGCAAAGATTATTTTTATTTTTATGGATGAGGAAACCGATTGTGGTAAAGGGATTTTCCAAGGTTGTATAGATGACAAATGGGGTAGCTCTTTTCTGAGCTCAAGTCTAGGACCCCTCTCCTCTTCGTGGAATCATGTTTCTGTGTTGGGTAACTTTTTCCTTGTGCTACTTGACACTTGTAGACCCAGTGGGTTACAAATTATGATCCATGACTTCTATATTTAATATTAGTGGCCATGTATTTTTTTCATGCATTATCCTAATTTTCCTACTTTGCCTTATATTTGTGGAAATATCTTTTAGACCTTTCCAGTTCACCCCCAGGGCCTTATGGTCAAGAAATGTATGTATTTYGATCTGAAGAGAGATTCAAATCCCCACCCATCCTTCCTCCTCACCTACTCCAAGTTATTCTTAACAAGGACACTAATATTTCTGTAAGTATCCTGAGAATATTTCTGGAGCATCTGGGGAACTGTAGGATTAATTGGGCCAAAATTCAGAAATCCTAGAAATTGGGATTATTAAAAAGGTATACTTTGATTATAAATTATATATAGAAATATCGTTATAAACTCCTTTTACCAAGGCTGGGTTGTATCTTCAGGAACTAAAATGAAAGTTTATAGTTGTCTCTGTTCCTGAAAAAATCAGGACCACACTATATTCTAGAACCAATTTCTGAGATTTCCATCATGAGATAAGGAATACTTATCACTTGGGGGTATACAAAAGAGTTATAATTTTTATTTGCATATAATTGACTTCTGTATTTATTCTCATTGATTCTCACTAAAATTATTTTTGTCATTTAGTGCAAATCTCCCATAGTTGTTGTAGGCAAGATTTTTGTTTTAGCTCTATTAAGAATAGCACATCTTGATGCTTAGGGTTTCTGCACTGAACTGAGAATTTTCCAGATTTTCTGTAATAAGAATGTATTATTGATATGCACTGGAGTGGATACATTATTGAAAGGAGATAAGGTGTTCTTAACAGTGCCAAAGAGCTCTGAGAAAGAGTAAGCTATTTTGTTGTCCATGCAACTAATGATTTTTTTTTTTTTTTTTTTGGTGTCTCTTAGTGTGACCCAGCCCTACTTCCTGAGCCCAACCATGTTATGCTGAACCATCTCTATGCATTGTCTATTAAGGTAAGTGTTGTTCTTGGTTCTTCACATCTCCCCTATATGAGAGGATAAGGGTAACATATACTGTGCAGTGGTTACTTGCTCAACTACTACTAGCTGAAGGTGACAGCAGTGGTTAAGAAACACTTTTTTTTTTTTTAAGCTAATGCATCCTTTGTTTTAAATCTCAGTTTCTGTGTCTGCGTTCTAGCTAGCTGAATTGTCCAGTGATTAAATGATCTTTTTTGTTTCCCAGTTTCTTTTGGGTGGGTAGAATCTTTATACCACCTACTTATTTGAGTTCATGGCAGTAAGATTTCATTTGCAGAAAAATAAGTTTTGTTTCTAGTTCAAAGAATGCTTGAATGTGATAGTAAGACTTCTTTCTGGTTTTTTAAATGTGGAATTGAACTACTTTTAGATGTCTCTGTTGTTTATACCCGAATGCTTGCTTCTTTCTTGTATAGTAGGTAAATGAGAAAGTGACCAGACTTGCCTTGTTCCCTCTAGCTCTAGAGTCTTCCTTTCTTTCTCTGTTGCTTTAGAGTCTGGGATGAAAATATCTGTTGTGTTCTGTCTTGTCATGTCTGGTTTGGCTATTAGAATAAAGTTATATAGCTTTGTGACTGTCAAAATAAGCTGGTTATCATCAGAATGACCTGGAGAAGTTTGTGAGCATACAGATTCAGTGGCTCCATCTCCAAAGTCTTCAAAAAAGTACATTGAGATCTGGCCACAGTGATTTTCCTTTAAACTGCCTTTTTTTTTTTTTTTTTTGGTACCAGAGAATGAACCTAGGATTCTTAACCACTGAGCCACATCCCTGGCCATTTTTGTATTATTTTTATTTTGAGACAGGATTTTGCAAAATTGCTTAGGTCCTCATTGTGTTGCTGAGGCTGACTTTGAACTTGCAATCCTCCTGCCTCAGCCTCCCAAGTCACTGGGATTATAGCCATGTGCCACTGCTCCCAGCAAGCTGCTTTTATTTCTTAGATGTGTAGCTAGATTAGGGAAATCACTGGTAGAGCCAAGATGAATAGATTGTATGGTAATACAGAAAATTTAAAAATATATTGTTGAATTTCATTTATAATAATAACCTTGTGAGATAAGTATTATTTTTAACCCCTGTTTTATAGATAAACTAAGACTCAAAGAAGGTCAAATTGCCAGTAAGTAACAAATAGGATTGAGGTCCTATCTTATGTTAATTCCATGTTATTTCCTCTGTATCATCATGCCAGGTTTACCAAATAGGTCTTTCTTTGACCTGCTTCTCATTTCTATAAAATCTTTACTGGGATTGTATGCATGTGTATTTTACTAGGGCTTGAATCCAGGGTCTGTGCATGCGAGGGAAGCACTCTACCTCTGAGCTCTACTCTAGCATTTTTTTTTTTTTTTAATTTTGAGATAGGATCTTGCTAAGTTGCCTAGGCTCACCTTGAACTTGCCTCAGCCTCCTAAGTAACTAGTATTATAGGCATGCCTAACTTTAGTTGATTTTTACCTGCCTTCTATCATATTTAGGCTATGTTAGTATACTTTGGTCAATGTGTTAACCTAAGATGCATTCACTATGGATAATATAGTATGGGGGGAAGGTAGGAAGATATATTGGTTTCTAAATTGGATTGGCTTGGGTTTTTTGGTTCTGATTGAATTTTGTCTCCTATAACTGCTTGTTGACTGTCAATTGAAGTCACAAGTCTGCCATCTCTTCCTATGGTTTATCCACATGTTGTAACATAGTCTGGGAAATGGTAGTTCTTACTCTTCTTGAATGTCTTTCTAAGGAGGATTTTGTCTATATTTTTTTCAAGGAGAGAGAAGAGGATTCCTCAGTTTCTTCTATATCAGGATTTATTTTCTTTTGTTCAACCCTGATTTTCTATTTTTTTTAATATGAAGACTGAGGTTTTTTTTTTTTTAATGCTTCTCTTTTTTTATTTTTTTAATATGGTGCTGAGGATCAAACCAGTGCTTCACATGTGCCAGTCAAGAGCTTTACCACTGAGCTACAACCCAAGTACAACCCTGGTATTAAATGGAAATTAGACCTGCTTTAGGACTTTGAAATGGTTTTTTTGGAAGGATTATTTTCCTTCTCATTGCATTTAAGATTTCCTTCTAGAAATTAATGCCAGTGTATTTCTTTTTTCTTTGCTAGTTTTAAGCTCAGTATTAGAATTTGAAATGAGGAAGGAAGAATAATAGGAAGTTAGTAGTTTCTTTAGCACCTTTCATGTGTTGGGTACTGTGTCAGATATTGTGTGATCATCTGGACCACCTTAATGGTAGGTATTATTCTCTGTATGAGGAGGGAAAAAAGGACTTAGAGACCTTAAGTAGATTACCCAAGGCTACAAATACAGTAACAATAGGAGTCCAGTTTGGAACTGAAGTTGATCTGACTCTAAAATCAACCTCTTTATTACATCAAATTATCTCTGTGAACAGTGAATGACTGTGTAGTACTATTGGCTGGGAACATCTGCCTCCCACAGCAACTAAGAAATTAACTGCATGTGCTTCTTTTTCTGCAGGACAGTGTGATGGTTCTTAGTGCAACCCATCGCTACAAGAAGAAGTATGTCACTACGCTGCTGTACAAACCCATCTGAAGCCATCCTGTCTTGCCTTCATGGATTCAGGAGAAGCTTCTCCCTTGCCTTTGAACTGAACCAGTCTTACCTGAGACTGGAAGGCTGATTTGCTTTCAGGCCAATATGTGTGTTTCAGAGCTTCTGAGTAGGATGCTCTGCTTTTGYATTTGATTGCAGATGAGAGCTTTATGAGTTCATGGAATTTATTTTAAGAAGAAAACATATAYATATGAAGGGAAGGTTATTGGAAGCCTCCTAGCCCCAGCTATGGGTATTCACCAGGACCCCTTTTGGGGAGCTATAGAGATAACTGTACAGGGAGGTTTTTTTTTTCCCTAAAATGAAAGAACAGCAAACTCTTGTTGGGTGAAGATTCTACCACTACTACCTTTGGTGTCCAAAAAATGAACTTGGGCTAGACTGTTGYCCTACTTATAGCTTCTGCCTTGCAGGGGCAGCTTCTCTTGCATGGGGTCTCTGTATTTTCACAGTGTGTGGCACAGTCTGTGTTTTTTGATATAACAAATGCCTCTCAAGAACGCTTTGTTCTCTTATTTCACATTCTTCCTTTAATAGCCTCCTTCAGATCCCATACCTGATCCCTCACAAAATTCTTTCAGTAAGTGACCCCTTTGGAAAGTTCTGTGGGACCTGACTACCTTATTGATGATGGTTGTCAGAATATCTCCTTTTTAGCCCACCAGAAGMCCAAGCCACTTTGTTACCACTTGTTTTAAACTTCTACTAAAGAAAATATGGGTTCAATGTTATAAGAAAGGCATATGCAGAAGATCTATTTTTTTCTTTTAATTTGCTACTACAGCTTTGACTGTATGGCACATAGGTTTTCCTGTTTGGCCTGGCCTTGCTTCCAGTTATGCTTTCTCAGAGCAGACAGCTCTGCAGATAGACATGGACCAGGCAACACTTCTAGGACTTTTATCCTTGAAAGATTTTTATGTGCCTGCATTTTTCTTTAATTTAAAAAAAAAATTCCTTTTCATTGGTCTTAAAAGACTGTAGTAGAGAACTTAAGGCTTTTAATAAATGGTCCTTAAGATTTTCTTCTTTAGTTAGAGGAGACTGTACTCTTATGTTAATATGGCCAGACCCATGTTCATCTTTATCCCAAGTACTGCTCTTGATACAGGTTCATACAGACTCATTGATACACATATGGATTCCCTCAACTGTTAAGATGTAAAGGCCATGAGGCAAGAAAGTATTCCTGGAAGGGTCTTTGTACTAAATAGTAAGAAGATCACTTTTTTCTTTCTGCCTCTTTTTTAAAAATGTGTTTAGTAATGAGGTGGGGTCACTGATTTCCATTTATGGACTGAAAAGTATTCAATCCACCCTTGGGGTTCAGAGATAAGACATTTTTTCCAAGTATCTTGGCTCTTCCATTTTACAGATAAATGCAAGTCAAACATTCAACCTTGAAGGAGGCCATACTTGATGGTTGAGAGACTCCTTGACTGCTAAGATGAACCCAGCCACACTGAAAGGGCACCTACAGGTCAGTTTAGCTACCTCTTGTTTTTTCCWTGCAAAGCTGACAATTCAGTTATCTTTGGGAATGTAGAYCTCCTTGATCCCAGGTATGAGGCAATAAGATGTGGGCTTGTAGTTTAGCAGGGAATGCAAGCTACTAAGTGCATTGGTGGTTAATTGTGGAGAGTAGATACTGCTTTTGCCTTTCAACGCCACCTTCTGCAACAAAAGGTTTTTGTGGAGAACCTTTTATGGTCCAAACCATTTTGTCAGTGGTGTGCCATTATAAAAATCCAGGCCAAATCCTATTTTAACCAWCTCTCAGGACCTATATAGTCTTTAGTTGTGCTGGAATWTTGTTCTTACCCAATATCCATTAAGTAATTGGGCCACCTAGAAGGATTTAAAATCTTGGTTGTTACATGGAGGATTCTCTCATATTCATTTCTTGTCAATAGTACTGAAATGCCATTATCTGTGTGTTCATGTATTAAACTTTTTACTCCAAATTGGTATATGAGTATTGTGGGACAGGGAAGGAAATCTCCTCTATGTGTCTCAGACCAGAGGCTTCTTGTCAGTTGGGTCTGGCTCTAATGACAGTATGTTTTATTGTTGGTGATCTTCAGATTTAAATGTAGAAATATACAAATTTTGTTTCCCAAATTCTTCTTTCCCAGCCAGATATGAAATAGGTGCCTACCAGTAGGTATGGAAAGGGATGTGTAGGGGGAATTGGGTAGTGACTACTTAAACATAGTTTCTTTTCTAGCCTGCTAATAAATGGCCCTGAGATACCCTATTTTGGTCTGTCACCAAGAAACTGTTCTAGAAGGGGAAAAGGGAGGAAGAAAGGGAGCCTGATAACTCACCCTTTTATATTGACTAGTTAAAGAGATAGATTATTTTCTTTAGAAGAGAGTGGTAGAATTTGAAAATGAATAAAAGCAAAAATAAATTTTTTACCTTTTTTTTTTTTGACCTCTAGGAATTTTGTTAAGTCATAGTTGGCAGGATAAGAAGATAGCTCTTAAAAGGTGGCTGACCCTTAACMACAGCAGTATGGTATTGTGATTGTGGGGCAAAGAAAGAAGAGTGACTGAGTTGAGGAGTAAAGGACRAAGTAACTGAAAATAATCCATTTTTATAAGAAAATTTAAATCAGACATAACCTGGTGATATATCCTTGGATCTCATTATACAAAACTTAGCATTATGTGGAACATTTTCCCTTTGTTTCTTGTTCCTATTTRCTGCTTTAATTTTATTTGTCAGATGGATTCTACCAAAGTCTTAAGTTAAATGTTACCTAAAATACATAGGTTAGTCATTTCACTGRTATGGAGAACTTCCACACCAGAGTTAGTAGGTTGCTTTAAGTTCAGACTTGAATGGGATTTAACCACTATAGGCAACACCCCTGCAGTACTGACTTTTTTTAGCACATGCTTGTGTAATTAACGTGTAAAAGAGTCATCCAAAAGATGTTTCTGAGAGGATCCGACAAACCAGACTCACTCACTTTTTTTTTCCAGTTATTTTTAGTCCTTGTAAATCTACAGAATTTGAGAGAAAACCTTTGAAAAGTGCCAGTATTCCATGCATGCTGCTAAAATGAAGTGAAGTTTGGAAAGAAGTGATATCTCCAGACAGGATTTATAGTAATCTGGGGTGTAAATGAAGAAGAAACACTAATGATTGAATTCCCTGCTTTTATTGGGGAAATAGGGCTTTTAAAATTTTGACCTCAACTAAAAATGATATGCAATAGTCTATGTTTGTGTGTGTTTGAAATATATCCTATTCTCAGAGATTTTTACATCCTCACATTCTAGTGATTTGGGGCATGGGCTTATGAACACTATATAACTTATTCAAACATTATTTTGGTTCATCCTTAAAGCCAAGTTCTTGCTGTCTTCTACCAGGGGCTGCTGACTCCAATTACCCATGTGATGAAGGACCTGGTAGGGATAAGGGTCTTTCAAAACTTTATGGGTCTAGGCATTTGTCTCTCCTTAAGTGCCAATCACAACTGGAGATTGAAAAACTGATTTCTGCAGTGAACCTAAACTTTTGGAGTAAAAAGCCAAATCTTTTTAAAAATTTTAACAGAAAAGGAAGGAAGAAAAAAAACCCTCCAAGTTGGTTACTTGTATAATTCAATTATGAGCAATGGAATCCCTCCAGGATTCTCATTTGGGCCTTGTGTGATTTGTTTTTCTTACTTGTGCTTTGAAGTAAATAAGCTTCAGTAAAAAATAATTTTGTTATTGCTTTCAACATTAGATGGTGTTGACTTGAATCATGTATAGCACAGTACTTTTTGCAGTAAGATTGGTGTGAAATACTATACAGTATGGATTTTATAGGTATCAAGTTAGATGGTCAAGGGATATCTATATTGTTAGATATTGATGATCTTACTTATTTTCTATTCCACTTCACAGAGCACCTTACCCAGCTTGCGGTTTTAGGACAGCCAAAGCTCATTGTTATTGATTAGTCCTAATCTCTGCACTGGGTCCCCTATATGAGAGTCTTGTTTGAATTTTGGTGAATTAGAGAATGTTGATTKGTATTACACTAAAGCATCTGGAAGGAGTGTAGCTCTGTGTCTGTCATAAAGGAGGGATAAAGACTGTAATTTGAAGGGAATAAAATATGTGAGATCCTCCATTAAGTGGTGCTTTTTGTAACCTTTAATGCTGAGATACAGAGGCTGCTTTTCAATATTTCACAAAGGAGTGGAATACAAACAAGTATGGATTTTAAACCTTTTCTCCAAATGTAATTGTCACTGGACCCTGAATTGCCTGAAAATTATATGTAACTCATACAAAAATGTGGGGTTTTCCCCATAAAACTGTTTAATAAAAGTATTACACAGCAATAATATTGAAGTTGTTTATTGATTGCTGACTATATTGTCAAGATCTGTCTGCCTAGATAATCTCAGAATCTGAAGAATGTAAATTGCTAGGCAGGCACATTTGGATAAAGGGAAGAATTCATGACTGCAGGGACATTAGTGATGTCCTTCCATCTGCCACATTTTCTCTTCTTTTTGTGCTGGGCAATGCCATCATTAATTGTGGGAATGCAGACCAAGTCACTGATTTGATTTTCAGCATTTTCTCTGAACTGACTGCACATTTAGCTATTGTGCTGTGAAATTATCTGAGATCTTAAACCAATGATTGTCATTCCCAGGTGTACATTCATATCACTGCTGAGGATTCTGTCAACATTAATCCCCAGTCTACTCCCTCCATCCCAATTAAATGGAAATCTCTGGTGTGTGATCCAGACAAGTATTTTTTAAGCCCCCCCACCTGATTCTAATAAAAATTTAGGGTTTGAGGAACATTATCCTGGACTCCCCTAGCTGGCTTTCTCTGTCAAATTATATACTTCATTGTATGAAAATAGATTATATACTTCATTCTGACAGCAGATCAGATGTCCTTAAGATAAGATGGTCTTATTCGGGGATATGAGTGTAATACGATCATTCTTGGGTTTTGTCCTTTTATTTTACAGGGTTTTAACACAGCTGGCTTCTGTACTTCTCCTAAAAACAACCATCCTCCCTTTTATTTAGTCCTTTAAAGATTCAACTGAGTTGAACTTTCTTAAGGGAGAGAAGAGGATGACAATACGGGGGTGACCACAGTTTGAGAACAAGGAAGTTAAGTAGAGGTATAACACAGGACTTGTAAGAAAAACTGTAATAATAGGAATGAAGCAAAATAGTTAGCCACAAAACTCTGTTAGGCCCAGACAATGCCTGTAAACTAGAGTTAGTGGTAGATGACATGTGTACACCACCTTTGGAAGCATGCCCAAACATGGCTTAGTCACTAAAACAAAATGACGGTATGATTCCATCAAGGCCAAACTTGCATTGTCATGTGCTTTCTAAAGCATCTTTTTTTTCTGGTCTACTTGGCTTGGGGTCTTTTGTTATATCCCTTCTAAACCTGCCCTGCTGCTCCTGCAGTGACAGGGACCCATGACAAGTGGTTCATGGACATCTTGAATCTCTCTTTGCCTTTCCCTCTGGCCTTTGTGGTAACTTCATCCAGCAGCACATATGCACATGAGATGGTCTTATTCAGGGATATGAGTGAATAATATGATAAATTCACTGAAGATGAACTGCTCCATGTTTTCTGTCCAGTTGGCATTTTTCGTGCACTCAGTTGCATTCTGAAGGAAGCTCCTGTCTTGAGTTTTCCTTTGTCAGAAGCCTGAGGTACATATGCTATATATTTTTAAACCCCAAGTAGGTTTCACATACTTCTTAAATATTCTTGACCTAATTGCCCTTCACTGCTGCTTCCAAAGTCCTTAATAGTGACAGTTTATGAGAAGATCAGGTAAACAAACATATCTGAAAGAGTGAAGATTACTTCAGACCTGTGTACCTGGATCTTATGGGGATGGTGGGGGAATTCTGATTTCCAGACCCATTGATAACTCAAAAGTGACCCTACATTTCTATCTTCTTGTTTTCAGGGATTTTTGTTATCAATTGAAAAGTTCTAGTTCTGTTCACAATTACAAGTTGGGGGTTAGAACTGAGTAGTGGCATGGGTGTTGTTCTTAACAAGGCCTCAGAAAATAAGAGAAAGGGAACTGGGACAGTTAAATACACAGTGTTTGGAAATGTTTGTGATAACTTGAAGGTAGTGTTTTTCGCCTTCAGTTAGCAGAGCTGCATTCTCTAGGTTGTCTGGGAGGGTGATTTACAGTTAGAATATCTGTAGATGAAGTAAAAGGAGTTGACAATCCAGAGATCCACCAGATCAAGAGCTAGTCTGAACTCAGAGAATTCTGAGGCGTAGCTTCTTAATTTTAGTTGCAGCAGAGAACTGTGGTAGCAACTAAAACTAGATGAACTAAAAGTTCAGGAGAAAAGGTAGCATTGTCCAAAGTGAACTGAGATCAATAGTCATTTTATCCTTTGGGGCCATTTGCTGATTATGTGCCTGGGCTGTGGATTGACCTTTGCTTAGCCAGAAGGTATCTGATGAGGTAAACAATAAAGCTCCTAGCAGTATTATGAGCTAATAGAGGGGCGAGTTGGAAACCTGGGGGACTTCAGATGTGCAGCTGGTTTTTCCCCAAAGGACACTTACTAAGTATGGGAAGTATAGGAGACACCATAAAGCTTATAAAAAGAAGAAAATTTCTCAAAGATGTATAATGCTAAGGTCATAAAGACTAACTAAAGCTAGGGGACTCAACTGAAGCATATGGTTCTAAAACATTTGCCAAGCACTGAAGTAAGGCAAAGTATTATAACTAAAGAGCTTTTCAAACATTTTTTGGAGGAGCAAACAATACTAGAACAAAACTCAAGGATACAAAAATATCCAGCTCTCAACAAGGTAAACAGCTACAATGATTGACAGCCAACCAAAAATTATTAGGAAGGCTTCTAGGCAAGATGGAGTAACATGAACTGGATTTACCCTTCCACCAAAAACAACATTTCAGACACTGTATGAACCAATAGTTTTCAGACATTGTCTTAGTCTATTTGTGCAGTGATAACAGAATACTTGAAATTCAGAAATTTGTAAAGAAGCCGGGTGTGGTAATACATACCTGCAGTCCCAGCAATCCTGGAGACTGAAGCAGGAGGATCACCAAGTTTGAGCCAGTCTCTAAGTTGGTGAGGCCCTAAACAGCTTAGTGAGACTGTTTCAAATTTTAAAATTTCTAAAAAAGGTACCCCAACAAAACAAACTCACATATAGAAAGATTTAATTACTACAGTTCTGGAGACTGGGAAGTCAAGATCAAAGGGCTAGTACCTGACTAGGGCCTTTGTGCTATGTCATCCCATGTGAAGGGTAGAACTCAACCTTTTATAATAAACCCACTCCCACAATAACAGTAGCAGTCCATTAATGAGGCAGAATCTTTATGGCCTAATCACCTCTTAATGTTACTATAATGGGATTTAACTTTGTAACACATACTTTTTTGGGAGATACATTCAAACTACCCTAGATATTAAATATCAAGCAATAAAGAATGATGACCTCTGAAATATGGGAAACAGATGAAGTGAGCCCTTTAACTTCTCAGCTTACTACCCTGAGAGTTTCTGAGTTATGACTGGAAGACTGAATTTCCAGCCTAATGAACTGCCTAAGTTGAGGACATGGAGTACAGAACAGAAGGGTTTTCCTTTAGTAGTAGGGAACTATTAGCTCAAGACTAAATGTGGATAGTACACAGAATAATGGCCCTTCAAAGATATTTTTGTGTTAACTCCCAGAATCTACAGTTATGTTAGCTTATATGACAAAAGGTAACTAAGATTGTAAATGGAATTAAGGTCAACTGACCTTGAAATGGGGAGTTTGCCCTGGATTATTTAGTTCGACCTAACTTTAAGTGGAAAAAGCTTTGAGTGATGTGATATGAAAAGAACTTGACTTGTTTGCTGGCTTTGAAGTTGGAAAATGAGGGCCATGAACCAAGCCATGTAGGTGGCCCCTGGGAGCTAGAAATTAAGGAAATGGATTTTCTCCTTGAGCCTCCAGGAAAGAGGGGCTTTAATTTAACCCAGGGAGACCCATTTTGGAGTTAGGAACCAAAGCAACATAGGATAATTTGTGTTATTTTAAGCCACTGGATTTGCTGTAATTTGTCACAGTAGCCATAGAAAACTAATACAAAATCTAAATCTTAAAATGCTGAGAGTCTTATGGATTAAGTTATTTCCACAACTGTATCCCAGAACAAAGCTCAAAGATATTTACAGAAAACAAAAAATACCTAGCATCAAACAAGACAAAATTTATAATATCTTGATATCCAATAAAAAATTATGAAGCATTCAAAAATAGGAAAATTAAACCATAATGAGAAAAAAATAACTGAAAATTACTCAGAACTTACAGAGAATAGACACAGCAGACAATGGATATTGAAAAATAGAATTTCTTTGGCATATTTGGAAAGATTGACTGTATGTCCACATACATGTATATTTATATCACTTGAGCTTCAGAGGTTAGAACTACAAATCATGAGAGGAAAAATAGATAAACATTAGACATTGCAAAACAAAGCAAGCCAGTCAAAATGAAACAAACAATTTAAAAAAGTCTTTCAAAGATGAACAGTGCAGGGCTGGGTTGTGGCTCAGTGGCAGAGTGCTTAGCCTAGCATGTGTGAGGCTCTGGGTTTGATCCCTGGCACCACATAAAAATAAACAAAATAAAGATATTGTGCCCGTATACAACTAAAAATATATTTTTTAAAAAATGAACAGTGCAAGGGGATTCAAGATGGCAGGGTGGAGGAAGGCTGTATTCCTTGTTCAATCAACAGAGATTCAAGCAGCAGGAATAGGTTGGTGAAAGAGGGGTTTCACTGTAACTCCATAGTGGGCAATCAAAGTGTCTTAGAGACTCAGAAAATTGGATACATTAATCAAAGAAAAAAGATTACATTGTTGATTGCAGTGCTGGCTCAACATTGAGGGAGGGATAATGCAGAGAAACAAACAGATTTAGTATGGAAAATCATGAGATCAGAAAAGTAGCCTACCTTTAGCCAATCCAGAGGCTGTGCCATACATGGTGTATATCAACTTGCCTCAGAAAGCTGAAGCAGGAGCCATCTTGAGGAGGCCGTGCTTCAGCAGCTGTGGCAGGAGCTGGGAGATCTGAGCAAATGCTGCTATGTTACTATTGGGTGCTGGGTTCCTGATTCAGCAAAGAATTGAAGAACAGGACACACAGATAGCAAGCACAAAGTAGGTTTATTGTAAAAGCAACAGAAATACAGAGTTAGACTTCTCCGAAAAGAAGGGGCCCCAGAGCTGGGAATCCTCTAGGGTTGTTTGGCTTGTTCTTTT